CCCCTCCCACCTCCCAATAGCTTTGCAGACAGATCAATAGTTTATGGGCATTTTGATAAGAAATGTTGACAAACAGCGAGCTAGAAATCAGAACTGGTAAACCTGGATGGAGTTGGGAGACTAACAATGAGTGTTTCTTGCTTTTCTGTCATCGTATTTTTTCTGCTTGCTTAAACAAAAAAGAAGTATGTTTCTTTTTTAGATCAGGGAGGTGCATGCTGCAAAATCATTTGAATTATGTTTTAACAGGAATTGGCTCTGTAAATATCTTTTCTCTACGGTTCTGCCACTTTCTTCTACAGTCTGCCACTGTGCAGACCACTTCTCGTGTTCATGGTGCTATAGCATCACTGTGACAATGGCAGCGGCTACTTACATGGAATATTAAAACAGGTAAAGGGTATCATATTATCTAATTGTGATACAAACATTTATTTCATATCTTATTTTACGTTCTCATTCATGCTCTAATCTCCTTGGCTTGTGGTGCTGTAGGTGTTCTTTTTGACATTCTCTCATAATCTACAGGCAAAGACAGTTGAAATTCTAGAGCATCAAATAAGAGATGTTTGCAGCATTATGGTCAGATCAGACTACTCGGGGAATCAGCTCTGCTGCTGATTTGCCATATTGTTGTACACTAAGTTCTCTGTGCCTAGTAAAAGGAGGATAAATATTTATCGTGTAAATTCTAAAGTAGTGCTGTGAATCAGTGTTCATGAAACATTTTTGGGTCTTTGCATGGAAGGCGCTATGTCAGTACTCTTAGCAATACTAATACTACTTTGATTCCTTCCTGCTCTTCTAGGTGACTGAGTATTTGAGACTTTGGTAGCGCTGGATATAATTGTACTCTGAATCTTCTAGAATATTGCTATTTGTAGTAATCGCATCATAACTCATTAGCATTTCTCCAGCAATTTCTTCTTGAGAGATCTTCATATGATACACCTCTGGCTCTGTTTTCCCACAATAAGACTGGTCAAACCTGTTCCAAGTTCTAATGTGACATGAATGGGTTTTGAAAGCTGTAAGTGCTAAGGGAGCATTTGGGAGGAGGAAGTACTTCTGGGAAAGAAATTTCCACAAAGTGGAAGCTCAGTTGTACTTTATCCTTCTACACTCTCATTTTATCCCCAGTTGCCCAAGACTTGTTCAAGTTAAATTCTTTTTCCAAGGAAGATTCTTGCTGACTTCAGTTGATAGTGAATTGTGCTTTTTTTTTTTTCATTCTATAATAAAATATTTTGGTAAAAGATTAAGATATGAAGCTACAGGTAGAAGAAACCTGTTCAGATGACGTTTTTCACGTTATTTTTCTTGAGTGTTGTGACAAAGAATGTGTCACTTCAGGTCCATTGAAACTGTATGGAAAAAGGCTCAAATTCAAAGTTCAGCTATAAGGTTTAATGAAATTATTATCTTGGTCATATTTTCTTTAGGTTGCCAGTCAACTTTTTTTTTTCCCCCTGAAAGCAAGTTTATCAGTAGGCTTTGGGAACTGAAGAATTCTCTTCATGTGGAGTGGGTCCTCTGGCATGCTTGTGGGTAGAGCGAGGGAAGTCTACAATGCAACTGCTGCAGCATAGAAAAAGGATTTTAATTTTAGTGGCTGACAGGTATATGAGTAATTAAATGATTTTGAGAGGAATTGCTCACCATAGGCTAAAGAAGATCATTTTAAAGGGCAGAATGAAGAATAACCTGCATAGTTCAGTTGTTTAGTCTTTTGTTCATTGTGTGCATCTTGAATGCTGTCATGACTCATCTGTTCTAATATCCTCTAGAACAACCATTTAATTAGCTATGCTCAGCATATCTAAATAAAATCAGTACCTTTTTTTTTTGGAATTAGTTTTCTAATCGCAGTATGGGTCCCTTACCTAACGCTACTAATTTCCAGTACCTAATGCTATTAATTTCCAGTTGGATTAATAAAATTGCCCTTTCTGAAGATGCATATTGTAAAACCAAATTTTCAATAATAGGCCTTAATTAAATTACCAAAGAGCTACTGGAATGCTTTGCCTTCAGAGCTATTGTCACATACACTTCAGTGCTGCTGCTTTTAATGACTTGATTAGTATGAACAAAAGGAACTAGGGGAATGCAATAGGGATTGAATATATGCATACAGGCTACAATTATTATCTTTAGTACTGATACAAAGCCCAAACAGACTTATTTTGTGCAGGGAATTAATTTGGAAGAGTAGCTTCTGCCTGGCTGAGTCCTGGTTTCATAGGTGTGATTTACAAACAATCAGTAATAAACATCTTCCTTTTGCATGCTATCGCTTTTTTAAACTTGGACAAAAATATTCTTGCCATTCCAAGTAATTTACTTTACAGTGTTGACCTGTATAGAAAGCTACGTCATGTTTTTATTTCAGTGATGCTATTTTTTGGAAGGATTTAAGATGGCATATGGTACTGAAATTCTAGAAACTGTTGTCCTTCCAAAAGCTAAAATTTGTGAGATTACTATGTAGAGTTGAGGTTTTTGTAACTGTGCCTGAAAAATGCAGAGGTGTTGCCCCAAGGATGTTCTTTAGTTTGCAGTCGGACATTCGAGCAAGTGGCTTATTTTAAAGGAAAAACTGGGCGTTTAAGGGGTAAAAGGAAAAATCTTCAGTTGGAATCCCATCTTACAAGTGAGGTGGGCTGCAGTTTCTAGGGAGGAGGAGTTTAAGGGTTACCTGTTGTTCACGGGCAGAATTGGGGCTGAAGCTAACTGGAGTCCATGTGGTGCTCTGCCAGCGGGTCTTGGCAGTCCCCTGACCAAATGCTCTTTAAAGGCAAGAGGAGTTCAGGCTGTCTTCAGCTCTGCATGTTCTCAGACTTAATAAGGGTGAAAACAAGCTATTCCCTGGAAGCATGGATGCCTGGTAATCGGGAATTAGAGGGAAGACCCAAACTCTCTCTCTGTAGGTGGCAGCTGAGCCACTGGATGGTGATTATTTCAGGTGTCTCTTGAACAGGTGAGTCAAAATTGAAGGGGTCTTCTTCAGCTTATCTCTGTAATTTGTAAATCCACTGTCTCCATGGCAGAATTAGTGGCTTTTTAGGAACATAAGAGGTGGCTAAATATTCATTTGTGATGGCTGTAACTTATGTTTTTGTAGATGGGTTGAAGATGTTATGTTTTGTATAAGAACCACATTCAACTGAGGTGCCATAAATAGTCAAGAGTGGACTCGCCTTTCTTAAGTTCCAAGATGGACTAGCAGCCTTGTAATAAATTAAAAAAAAATCTTTAGCTTTTATTCACAACCGTTCCAGCTTTTTAGTGCATAAGAAGAATGAAACAGAATTCAGGTGTCAATTTAGCTTATCTAGTAGGCAGTATTCACATTGAAAGAAAACAATCTCAAATGCTGAATTTTACGTGTTTCTTTTACATTGGAACAGGTCTGTGTTCTGGACTTTTCTCTAGCTTGTGTCTGATCTCTCCTCTTAGAATTCGTGTCTCTGTGAAAACTCTCATGGCTTGCTTTTTTGCTGATAAAGGTTGCGAATGGTATCAAGGTAGATCTGTACTACTGAATGGAAATTTCCAAATGAATATTAGACCAATTTCTCAGAAAATCTATTTAAAAAAAAAAAAGAAAAAAGACAATTGTCACTGGAGGATTTCATAACGGAAGGCACATATCCAACATTATTATAATTATTCATGTAGAAGGCAGGCTTCTGGGAAATCATTTGCTTCTTTCTCACTGACTTTCTCCTTTTCTCAGTCTGTGACCTTTTTACTCCTGCCCTTCGCACGTTGTTTGCCCACATTATGGGTCGCTGTAATTCTCATGGCAGCCAGATACCACCAGACAGTAGATACATAATTCACGGTACAGGAGTAGGTGGCGGGGAGCTTCATCCTGCCCCTGCTTGCACTCACAGCAGTGTTCTTCAGATCCCGCCATTTGCTGGCTTGGTCACTAAAAGATAGCTCCGAGGGTAGCTTCGCTTTTTAAAGAAATATTGCTAGTGAGTTAAATTGGAACTAGAGTTGACATGAGGAAGAGTATAAGGGCAGGGAGGGCAATTAAAGAGGTGGGGGAGCTACAAGTCCTTCTTCTGGTTGAGGCTTCGTGTTAAATTGCTGCATTAATAATATTACCTGGTAGTCTCCAGGTTTTTTTAAGCCGATAACTACTTTCCTGGAACATTTTTGTTTGGGCTGAATCTTGGTGTTCCAGAAATGTCTATTTTCACAATTATATACCATTGTGTTTGAACCTGGCTGTCTGTGTTGTCTGGGGAAAGCTATTACAGTCACTGTGACCTCAGGCATGGGATATTATAGGAGAGAAATTTCATTCTGACTGCAGAACAGCTTTCTCTGTTACCTCGTGGGGGAAAAAATGTTACAGCTGCTTTTCTAGGCAGAAGTCCAATTTGACTTCAATTCATGCCCTCAAAGTATGTCAGGTATTGCTAAATTATAATATAGAAATCAACCTGGACTTGCTTTAAGATATATACATAAGATGGCTTTTAAAATTTAGTTTACAACATTGGTACAAGTAAAAACCTTCTGGTTTTAATAAAATAATAAATAGATATAAAAAATAAATAAAACAATTGCTATTAAAAAACCCAACAACCACTGTTAATAAACCAGACAGGACAAATGCCAGAACCTGACTTTGATCAAGGTGATGAGTCTTCTTGGTATTTTGTGATTTACTCAGAGCTGCGTGTACATGGGTTGGAAATGAGAAATAAATTTGTGGCCCTCGGAAATTTCTGCTAATGTGCAGAAAATCATGCTTTTTGGGATCTAAAGTGGCAAATGAACCTGCCCCTTTTAGTTAAGTTTTGGGACTCTGGATGGAATTTAGGTCACTGCCTAAGTACATTGAGGTAGTCGCCTAACTTTCGGTGTTGGGGATGGCTTGAGTATTTTATATATTTCATTGTCTGTTACTTAAATATATACATATGTTGAAATACCAAGAAATTATTTTCTGTTTTAAAAACACGTATTATTTCTTTTAGCCTATTGCAACAACTCCACCACGTCGTGGCTGGAAGGAGGAATCCATAAGCCGCAGCAGTAGCGAAACCCAGGCATCAGTTACCAGTGGGATCTCCCTAGGAGAAGTAATATGTCAGAAAACTGCCATTGATTCGGTATTTGTACTGTGCTTTGTTTTGGTTGTGGTTGAAGGTTAATTATATGATTGAAAATAATATGAAGTGCTTTATCTGTATAATTTAGACCTTCACTGTACTCGCCCTGTAAAGGTCTGTGTTTCTGTATCTTGCAACTGCAGAAGAAGAGGACTGCTGTGAACTCTGACAAGTCATCTAGTCTAGTCTTGATCCAAGTGCTACAAAACTTTTTGACATATCATTCAAAACTGAATCCCCAGTAGTTCAGTGATTTTTTTTTTTTTTTTTTTTTTTTTTAATTTTAAAAAATCTTCCCCTTCCCTTCCCTTTCTGTTTTCTGGTTATAAACCTAGTATATTTTCCAGTGTAATGTTTTCTTCTTTGCAACAGTATCTTTGATCTGTATTCAGTTTGTAATTTGCTATAATCCTGGTCCTGCTACTGCCTCTTAAATTGTCAGATCTGTCTACCTCAAAATAGCTGATTTACATGTTAGCACAGAGCCGTGCTTCAGTTCATGTGGAATCTGACTACTTTTAGACCTGAGTTCTAATGACGTGTTCCATATGTGATTAAGGAAAACTGTACTCACATCGTGATACAGTCGTAATAGTTCTATCTGCCAAATATTTAATTACTCTGAGAATTGCATAAGATCGCAGGTGTTTTGAAAAGACTGAGTTGATCACAAATTTTATTTCCAAATGATTATAAGAATCTTGTGCAAAAATTATAGCTCATATAGCAAAATTCTGATGTGAAAAGTAGCTTTTAATACCTTAGTAGTGTTTCAAAAGGTAGAAGAACTTGCAGCTATTAAGTAGGGATAGTACTGTACTTCTACCAATTCACTGGGACACTTTCTTGCTTATATTAACATATGTAATTATAAGTTATATACGCTGATGATACGGTTTGCCTTATAAATGATTGATATTCCTAATTCTCTGCACTGAAGACTGGTCTGTGCCTTTTCTATAATTAAAATTTATCTGTTTAATTGCTTCCCCAGTAATCCCAATGCAAATTCTTTAATGAATTACTTGAACTAAAGATGCTCCTTTCCATTTGAACATGAACTGAAAGTCTTTTTCTTAAAATATACCAAAGAATTGGCTAGGATTCGCAGGCATTATTTGTGTGAACTCAGAATTTCTGTAACTAGAAACTTTCTTTAAAGGCAAATCAGAAACTATTCTGCTTGTTACTCCCCAATTGTACAATGCAAACCATCTTTACTACGCAGTGTCAGGAACTGTATTGGCCCAACATCCTACTGAAGCATTTGTCCTTACTAAGATTTTTATTTCTAAGTGAGAGATTTCATTCTGGTTTGGAAAAAGTCTTCTGCAGTGGCAGGATTTGGAGATGGAGCTCCGTTTCAGACAAGTGGTGGAAGGCTGGTGATCAGATAGTTAGCGATGACAACTTAGGAAGTAGTGAGAACTGACTGTGGACTTCTGCAGTTCATAGCACATCATAATTCTTTTACATTAAAAACTGAGTATTTGTGTAGGAAATACAATTTAGAAGCAATAATTCCATTGTTTCACAACTTGGTCTATTTCCTTTGGAAATATGCCTTATAAAACTTCCTTGATGCTTGAGCACTTTTTTCTCCCCACCTGTTCTTAGGGAATTGAGTCATGGTATCAGCTTCCAGCAGAAGTGGATGCCAGCCATTTAACTGCTGCCTCAGAGACAAAGCTTGGCCTGACTTGTGATAGAAATGACCTGACGGAGTTCCCTACGCTGGAGGAAGGAGTGTTGCCTTCAGCAGAAGTGTCTAGAAGGCAGTCTCCTGGAGATACAGCACATGGCTTACTGCTGGGTATGTTCAAAGTTGCCTTTTGTTTAACTGCTAAACAATTAGGATTTTACTTTTCCTTTTAAATCAGTCCCTAACCTGGATTTGACTTCTTTTAGTGAGAACTGGTGTTTACAAAATGTGTTCTGTATAATTTTATTGTCAAAGCCCATCTTCAAAACGAGATAGAGGGCTTGTGTACCTTCCCTGGAACTTTTAACAGGTAAAGCGATTATCTTTGGTCTCAGGTAAAACTGTAGTCTTGTTTTCCTTTAGAATTAATAGTAAACCTGAGTAAAGTTAGAAATATTTGGGGTTCTCTCTAGGTGAGGTGATAGTTCTCTGTGTCCTTAGAATCTGTGTTAATTTGTTATTCAAAAATCTTTGTTAATTTCCAAATAGTAGATATAATAATAGTAAAGTAGATATAATGGTATTGATAACACGAAAACCTGTTTGATAGGGGTGCAAGCATGCACACACTCTTTTCTCATACATTCAAACTACTATATACTGCTTCTATGTTTCACTGCTTCTTAGAGGATTTCTTTATAGACAAAGTAATCTCCAAATTCAGTTTTAAAAGGTTTTCAGTAGCCCTTTAAAAAGGTATCTTATAAGCGTTACTGCTCTTTAATTATTCAGTATATGTATTCCTTTTCAGATAAGAGGAAAAACTGAGGAATTATAGCTAGAAGTACTGTACTACTGCAAGATTTAACCCAAGCTATCCAGATAAAGGGATTTGCTTATGTAGGAAGTCAGCATAACAAAGACTACGTGGAAGGGGAAGGTGGTAATGATTTACAAAATGTCAGAGTAAGTTGATGTTTACCCACCTTCACTGTTGCACTCACAAGCACCAACTCTTTTTGGTTTTTTTCCCCAAGTGGTCTAGCTTGCCTGTAACACGACGGCCTATGCGTGCTAGCTATCAAGTCCTGGGATGGTGCTTTGCTGTAGTCTGCTGTCCTGTTGGGCTAACAGAAACAGGAGCTGTGTACATGAAATGCAGCAACCTTGTTGTCATCCTCCCGTTGTCAGAGCACAGGACCTTCTGCTAATGAGTCCTCTGTTCTGGTGCTTAAACACAAGTTTACACACACATTCTTACTTCATTCATATCAACATTAATATCTTTGTTACAAGTCCTTCCATTTCTCTCTGGGTTTGGACAATACCCATATTGGAATGTACCACATTAGTATGGATATTGATTCTTTCCAATATATTGGTCATCTGGGCTTCAGAATGCTTTTTCAATTGGTGTGCTATCGTCAGTATTGTTAATCGTAGTGCTAAGATGTGAAAACCTGTGTGCAGTGTATTGGTGTATTCAGGTGTTATCATTAACAATGCAATTTGAAATACAGAAAAACCCGTGGGGTGTTAAAGACCTAATTGTAATACAGCTGTGAGCATCCTTTAAGAACAATACACCAGTGGTGAATAGTCAGGGTTTCTACATCACTTAATTGTAATAGCTGTTGGTTCTCTAACATAATACGGAGTTTTCTGACTTGGTGTTTCCTTGTACTTTAGCTGCTTGTTCTATTTATTGTGATTCACCGCTAAGTTTGTTCCAGCCATGCTAATCCCAGCGTAGCACTCTTCCACGTTACATAATTCCGATTAGCTAATGCATGATATGGGTGGACACTGTATATGTTTCGTCCTTGATATGTACAGGAAGGACGTTACTGTTTTTTCCATGTGGGGTTCAGTTTTCTGACGTGATCCCCCACCAGGCTGGATACTGGGAAAGAACATGCATGCAGCTGTTTCCAGTGTCATAGGTGAGAGAAACATTAACTGCTAATTGGTACTTGCATGCAGGGAGTTGTCACTGCATTGAAGTACAGCATGCTTCAGGCTGTATTCACGCAGGACAGATGAATTTGTTATAACTCCATTTTTCATAACACGTTTTTAGCTCTATTAATACACCATTAGTGATGCATCAAGCTCTCACTTTAGGTATCAAAGTGACTGATGGATTATTTTTGGTAATGCTAGTGGGGTTTGTGCATCTATTATTTGGCAGTTGTCTTTATTTTTGACATAAAATATCCTGGGTTTTATTTCTCCTAATGACATGGTTGTATTCTGTTCCATGCCTGGAATTTACACCAATCTAGACACTGTTTTGCGGGTGTTTTTTTGTTTTTTTCTCTCTGCCCTGCCCTCCCCGCCAATGACTGTTCAGATTGTTTATATTCTTGTGTCAATAAACCACTACTTATAGTGTTTAATATTCTATGAGTATTCCTTTTTGCTACCACTTGCATTTGGGTGCAATTTATATTACTGCCAGTAATATTTTCCAGTTCTAGCACCTCTACTTTAGAAAAGCTAAGTGTTTTATTGCTTCCTTTCACATCTAATCATCAGAGTTTAGTTAAAGATTGGTTTGAGAAGTTCCAAGATTTGATATTTCTCCTTTATCCGTTCTTGGTTACATTAATTTTAATCCATGTGGAGTCAGAGTATTCTGGTCAATTCTGGTGGTATAATTTTTAGTCCACTGTTAGTAGTACATCTTTTGAAAAAGAAAACTTCTCTTTATAACGCAGCATTATTCTCTGCATCTTAAGACTCAAACCATGTTGCTGATTCTTTGTAATCATTTCTAATAATCCTCAAAATGGTGGAAACAGACACGCTCACTTTTTTCCACTCATTGCTATTAATCATAGGAAACACATCTGTCCCCAACAAGATAAACTTGTTTCTCTTGGCAATAAAGCCAACTTTTATCAGATCCATTTTTCTCTATTACCTTTATTTGCTCATATTTTCCTCTTGTTTTTTAACTTCAAGCTTCAGCTATGGCAATTAATCTGGAAGGAATTATGTCTTTCCCTTTTTGTATGTGCACATTTAATGAAACCAAAACCAGCAAAAGCAGAACTAAGCAATGTATAGTTAACAATACTCATATGGTTGAAGTGGTTTACTTTCTCTTCTGTGCTATCTATGGAAGACAAAATTAGCCAGGACTGTTACTGATGGCTGTTTTAGTTACCCAAGCTAGAACGTTTTCCTTGCTTGCCTTACTTTAGTTGCGTTATTTCCATTTATTGCATTTCTGCTTTCTTACGCATCCAAGTTACTATGCTAAACAACTGTCACCAGAGCTCCAGACATGATTGTTATCCATTGGTTCCACTCTTAAATTAGCAGTTGTTGCACTTAGGCATAGATTTCTATTTATCCCCCCCCCCCCAACTCTTAAATGCTAGTTCTAACATCAAATTCGATCACGCACTGTATGTTAACTTTTGACTTTCAAAGTTAGCTCTGTCTCAGCTCCAATTGAATTGTTAATTTATACTGTAACTTACTGTTATGTCTTCTGTTAACTTCTTCTTACCTGCTGATAACACTTGTTTTTCTTTTTTACTTTTTTACTTTTATGATACCCCACCTAGACTCCTTTTATGCATATACTTCCTTAGAAACGCGTAACTTAACAATGCTGTTACTAAGCCCAAAGTGTTTCTTTTTGCATTGATATCCCTTAGAGGATCACTCTGCAAAATCAAGTGTTACCCCGCCCATTAGGTTATTATATTTGTGACTCACTTTTCCAGGATGTTACTGAAACTGCTGAATCAAGGTGCTTCTAAAGCTGCTTTTAGCTTTAAGTTATTTAGCCTTTAGTTCAAGGCTATGTTTTTTCACGAACAAACAAAATTATTATAGGCAAATAACATGATTGCTTGTGATATTTTAAAATAAACCTGCATTGCTTCCAGTTAACTGCAAGTTCAACTTGCAGTTTGCCATTCCCGTACCTGCTTGTGTAATCTTACTTGTATGTAGGTTGCTTTTTGGGTTTTTGTTTGTTCTGAGGTTAAACAACTGCTTAAGGGGATGGAGTTGAAATTGCCTTGGGAATAGGCTGGTAGACATTCATGGCAACTCCTGCGGTTTTTATGAGTTCGGCTGTTATTACAATGTGCAGCTCTTGCTCATTTTCATCAGTGTTTTTGTGGTTATTTTGATAATGCTTTGATCCATCCTTTGTGAAGGAGCCTGTAAAGGGAGAGAAAACATCTCTCTGGTGGATCTGGATCCAGAGGTTCTCATTCATACCAAACCCCTCCGATGCCCGAGGCTCAATGCCTTCCGCTGTAGGTCTCGCACTGATGGCTGCAACTATCCCTTGTGTCTCCTGTTATGCTTTCTTCAAAGATTGCACTCGGTTTTGGTAACCTGGATTATCTGGTTCAAAAAATTGCTGCTTCTCTGCTTGAACCTCTTGTTTTACTTGTTCAGGGATTCTCTTGTAAATGGTTCTCTGTTAACTTTATGGGGGTGAATATACATGGGTTTCCATGAAGAAAAACAAGACAGAAGATGGCTTCTATCTGTAAAGGCAGAATCTGGCACGAGGTTAGCTTTGGTAGAGGTAATACATCTGCTGAAGGAACTTTTAAAATCCTGTGTGCGATACAACAGCATTAAAGGAAAGACCAGCATGTTTTTTGGTTTCTTAGAAACTTCAGGTAACTTACTGGAAATCCCAAACGTTTGCCAATGCAGAGTTAATACGTTGCTTTTAGTCTACACTGAACACTAAGCCCTGTCCCTTGCTGTCCTAAGCCTTTATTTATTTTTTTTTTTTTAAGGACAAGGTGTTAGGAAGATGAAGTGAGGTTCTATTCTAGCGTAACAACACAGGCAGACAAGCTTGGTATGGCTGAATTAATTGCTGGCTGCTGTGGATTTGGAACTACTTCTGAGATGTTCTTGAAGAGGTTTTCTCCTTTATGAAATAAAAAGCACTCTTGGCTATCTCATCTTTGGGCCTACAGACAGCTTTGTAATTAAAAGCCATGTGTGCATCACAGTGAGTTGCTGTCTGGCTAGAGTTGGTTAATATTGAATAAAACCCCGTCTTTTTTGTTTTGCCATGTAGGAAGTTCAAATTTAAGACAGGTATTAAAAAGTGGAAGGACACGGTAGGTTAGGCATGCTTTGTCTTTGCCTACATCCTCTGTATAGGATTGTTGTATTTA